AGATGAAGGGATAAAACAGATCGCAATCAGTTGAGGATTCAATTTTCAATCGATTGGCAACCGTTTCATCCCTTCGTCCTCATTAGGGAAGGAGAAATTGATTGTTATATTAAGGGCAGGATTCCGCCGCCCGTCGGCGTTTCGAACTGCGGTAGGTTTCCCTCACCTACTCGACAGCGAACATCACCGTTCGCTCCGCCTTCCGATTCCCCCATACGCGTTTCCCCCCACTCTGCGCCGTTATCGATGCTCTCACACGCTCCCTGTTTTACTTACAGGTACGTACTCGCTACGAAATTTTGTGGTTGAAGCGTTTCCATAGGCGCTAGCAATCTCCCTTAGGGCGCGTTTCGCAATCGACGTAGTAGCAGTAGCAGTACTGCAACCCTATCTAATTTTGCTTTACTGCAGCTACGGTAGTTGATTCCGAAACGCACCCATTATCTCTGGGGACAGCACACTAATTTTTGGGAGATTTTTTTCTCAGTGTACTTGTGTGATTCATATAGGGTGAACAGTCTAATTATGGAACATCTAAGGCTCTTTGGAGGTTCGAACAACGGTTTAAAAATACACTATTGTTTGAAAAAATATTTTTAAAAATACTGGTCGATTCCAAATTTAGTAAGTTTTAGAAAAAAAAAGAAAAACCATTATCATGAGAAATAATCGGGAAAAATGAAAAATGATGTTAAATCCAAAAGACCTATTACGGAACAGTCTTGCCAAATATGGAACATCGTGCGCCCCATTACGGAACATTAGAACTTTGTGAGACGGTGAAAGGTTAAGGATCCGAAGTCATAAGGATATTTTTGTAGAAAAATATCAACAAGTTCAGATTATAATTGAAAATTCGAATTGTGATGCAAATATTTTATTGACGTGGATACGTCTATGGTTTCAGTATAGGGGGTCATTTTGGGAAACGGTCCTTATGTGCAGCGCCATCTATCGGGAGTCTAGAAAATTTTAGACATGTCGAGGTATAGTCGCCGCCAGGAAAGAAGGAACTTGGATCTAAGTGATGGGGGACGTCAAGTCGTAGCTAAATTCGAAAGAAAGGGGATACCCAGCGACGATCCTTCTTTTCTGGCGAGAACTATAATTCGAGAAGTTTCTTGAAATTTCGAAAAAATTCAAGGAGTTTTGAGAAATTTCAAGGAAATTCAGGAAATTTCTAAAAAATTCGAGGGAGTACAAGAAGTTTCTAAAAAATTTGAGAGAATTCAATTTTCGGACGAAATGAATGCAAGAATATGAAAAAATGAAGCTTTTAGAATCATTTGATGATTATTAACTTAAGTAACTTCGTTCGGCATGTTAGCGGTTACACTGTCACATTTAACTACTTACCTATCGCAAAATGGCCGAAAATGGCATCTGGTAGGGTTTATTTCCATTATTGAGCGAGAAACAGCGGATAGACCACCAAATATATTCTCTTATCATGGAAGGAAATATCGACTTGATTAAAAAAAAAATTGATCAGGTAAATACTCTCGGAATCTGGGAAAATATTCAAGTGTTCCGTTAATTGGGGGCGGGGGGGGGTGTAGCGTCTCGCTACACACACACCAACGCGTAACACACACACGGATACGACACGCTGAGAGACGACTGGACATCGGTGACATCATCGCGCTCTGTCACGCGCCCAGTATCAAATACCTCTCGCTCACACCTATTGTATTCGCATCCGAATTCTTACCTGACGCGGATATAATATTCAGTCTGGCGCTAACCGCCAAATACTCAACGAGTCAACCAACCGACTCATCATCTGTACATACCGCATTCACGACAATAAACTAAATCTCTAGTGTTGCAAACTGTTGCCTCGCGTAGTTGATTCGTTATCTTCCCGAACAACCACAACCTTGAATCCTACAGGGGGGGGGGGGTGTTTCCTGCAATTGGACTGTTCACCCTATGAGATGTTCCAAAGAGTTTTGAATTTCATATATAGAATGAAAAATCAGTAATTCAATGGCATAAGGATTATGAAATTACGATAGTAATTTTTTAATAGTGAGCGTCAGTATTTTTCAATGATTTACCCAATATTTTACGATAGGATAATGTCATGGTAGTCTCCCGCCAAGCCGCCATGATTGAAAATGGCGATGGTACGACAATTATGGCGCTATTTACTGCGATAATTTTAGCGACATTATGCGCGATAGTTGGAACAATGCTTATTGCAGCCATGAACCGATAATTTTATCGACATGGAGAACGATATTAACGATCATATCAAGCCCCATTGACAATTGCGTCACCGGTTCCAACCATGGCGGTAGTCAATCGCACTGTAATTGGCTGAAGTATTGAAAAATTCTAATATTCACCATTTGAAAATCTATTATCAGAATTTATCAATTTTGGTACTATTAAATTTTCGATTTTCTACTCAATATATGCCTGAAATTTGTAAACAACGTGCCGACGTCACCCTGTATAGTTACCTAGATCCGGTTTGATTCGTTAATTTTTGTGGACGCTGTTCTTTACATTACTCATATTGAGTAAAATTCTCTTTGTTTTACCAGTAAAATAGTTCGAAGATCAAATTTCTGATAAAACTGGGTGATGAAGATGTGAACTGAAACGACATGTTTCACATCAACGTTTTCTACTTCCCTCAAAATATCCACCATCCATTCGAATTGCTTTTGAGTCTGAGTGACCCAAATGAAATAAATCTTTCGATTTCCCAAGTTCCAATGCTGATTTGTCTTATGGACGATATCTTTCAAGATTGATGCGAAAGGAGTCACTCCAATTCCACTTGCGATCATAATAGAAAGATTGTATTTGTTCCAGTTCTGATGGGATTCGCCGTAAGGACCATCGACGTGAATCTAGATCAACAAAATTATCAAATAATGTGAGTATCTATTCATGATCTTAATTTCCGATAATTTTTGCATTGAAAATGTGTGAAAATTTTTTAAAGTTAATGTTATAATGATTTCCCTTCGAGATTCTCGTTACTCTATTTCTTATATGAGGTATTCCATGGCAAATGAGTCAACGGCTGACCCTCTTGGAAATTGGAAATTGATCTCGATTTTTTATACAATTGTGGGAATAGAAAAACTATCTTTCAATTTTTTCAGTTTTTTTTTAATAGCCTTTTTCGGAGATATGAGTTTTTCTTTGTTCTTTAGTTCTTTTCAATAACTCCAGTTGTATTCATTCAATTTTGATTTATGTCACGTTAAAATTTTCGATTTTATACCGTCTCCAAGAATATTTTGAGTAATTTTTTTTCGACCCTGAGGTGTTCATTCAGTAATTCTTGTAACTCTTGTAATCAAAACAAGTATTTTGAGTCATCATATAAGTTGGCTTTCGTCATAGATCTATTTTATTTTCAATTTTTTTCTTTTTGAAATTCCCCGTATTTGGTCAGAATACCCCAAAATGGCGTTGATTGACTTTGATTATAAACAGTATGAAGTGAATTTGAATGTATACTTATATGTTAAATTTTTTTATACATAATCGAAGTCGAATTTTGAGGTGTTTTAAACGAATCCGCGGAATTGCGAGAAGAACAAAATAAAAATAACAGATCCAGGACGAAACCCAACTTGTATGACGGTTCAACATACTTGTTTTGATTATAAGAGTTACTGAAAAAAAGATGAGAAAAATAAAAGCTGACATAATTTTGAAAATTCAAGTTCTACAAATTTGTTTTCTAAAATTCGGTATGAGCACCTAGGGATTGGAAAAAAATTATTTAAAATCCACTTATAGATGGTAGAAAATGGAAAATTTTGAGCCGTCATAAATTGAAATCGACTGAATAGAACCCGAATTATTTAAAAGAAAAGAAAAAACAAAGTAAAAATCATATCTCTGAAATAGGCTGTCCAAAAAAATTTGAAAAAAATTGAGAGATAGTTTTTCGAGCCTCCCAATCGTAGAAAAAATCGAGATCAATTTCCAAAAGGGTGAGGGTCAGCCGTTAACTCATTTGGCAAGGAATACCTCATACACTGTGAGAAATATCGTCATAATATCACTAAACTAATTTCTTGCGCCAAATATCGCATATCTTGAGGATAAATTTCTTGGGATAAGAATTCCGAATAATATATCAGACAATGTCAGATTTCGGCGAAGTGTTCATGACTTGAGCATGAACATTTCATAATAAAGTGAGAATTCCTTCCCCCAAGAAATCGTGTCAGAAGATGAAAAAATGACTAAAAATATTAAAAGCTTCGATTCAGTGAATCAGGAATCAGAGACTTTCGTATTGAATGAATAGATAATTTATGCAAAGGAAAACCTCCTCATGTTAAAAAATATAACCGTCGCTTACGCTCAACCGCTTTAAGTCCGAAGAGAGGCAATATCTTCTTCTTATCCTTCTGTCAAACTGTTTTTGTTTTGTAAGGAATATGACCTCATTTCCAAAAAAGACACCACCGTTTCATTCAGAAACTTCCCCCTTAGCCCAAAACGCACCAATTTCTTGTCTGAAACCTACTATAAATTGATCACATATGTATGCGATGTTTTTCGCTCAAGAAATGATTTTTGTGATATTATGTCGATTTTTCTCTTATTGTATAGATCTTATTATTCCCTCAATTTCTACTCGGGATTATTCGGAAAATATAAATTCAATTGTACAACTATTGTGGATTCAATAAAAAACAAACCTTAGGCAATTCGGAAAGCTCCTTCCTTGCTGGATCAAGTTTATTTCTCATATTAATGGTCCAAGGTCCTACAGACCTGATGTGCACGGATAGAGTCGATTCATGTGGAGCTGAGCTTAACGTGAATGGATGATACTCATTAGTGTTGAGCGCCGGACAGGAAATCCTCACCCACTGTCCGGGTTTGTATTGAAAGTGTAATGGCTTCTGGAAAATCAAGCAAGTGACATTCGAGGGCAGAATTTCAACCTTCAGTAGCGGAATTTCAATAGTTTTCCTCGTAGCTGTGAATATTTTATCAATCGTGAACAATACCACAGGCCCAATGAAAAAATAATGGAAGTAGGGTCCTTGGACCAATCTTCCGCTTCCATGAAGAATCATTAGAATGAAAAAAACTGGATAGAGACAGTGGCCATAGTCGAACCACTTGTAGATTTTTCTTCTCACTACTGGCAGAGAGCAAAGGAAGATGATTCCAGTCACAAGAGTGAGTAACATTGCCGTGATCCCAGTCATTGTTCCCCAGATCCAGTATTGAAATTTCGGGAGCTCGTGAGATGCGTGAAAATAATTTCTAAATAAACATGTAAGGTCGTCCGCAGGCTGCGTCGATATGTAGTAAAAGTTGAACCCATGTCCGATGACGTGAATCAGGGTGAAGATGAGGGCCCAGCAGGCGATGTACTTATGCATTTCGATGGCCGAGTCAAAGGGAATATAAAACTGAAGGACCGTATCTCGGAGGATTGTTATTATGTTGTGACACATTGTTATCAATAGGCTGGAGAAGGCGAACATCATTGCCGAAGCCGCACCTCGAGTCACTGATACACCGAAGCTTGTGATCTGGCGCAGGCCATTGTGCTCTCTCAGAAATGTGTAATCTGGCGATTAAAAAATTGGTCAAGATGATTAATGGCCCTGACCCCAAGATGATCACAAAAATGAAGGGAGATTAATATTTTCAATTTCTATGAGCGTATTCTATTCACAGAGACAGGAAATACGGAAAATGTAGAGAAGGAAAATCAAAAATAAATTTAAAAAATCGATTTTTCAATCTTGAAAATTTCAAAACGTTTTTTTAATAATGAAGAAAAACCAATGTATTTTTTCTATTATCTAATTCCGATGGAAGAAAGTGACAACAGGAAGAGAAACGGGATATATTTTTTAATACATAAAAAAAATAGCAAAGAATTCAAATCGGCGATGAGAAATTTTGTCGGATTACTATTATGTAATAATTCATAGAATACTCACAATGAAATCTTTCAGCAAAGATTCCGAATAAAAGTATCGTATAAAGTACCACCCAGAAGATTTCTAGTTGTTTATTGGCCACGAATTTCATGACTGGGTGCCACCGACTATCATGAGCCTTTACACTTTTTACAATGTCTAAATTATCAGCCATCGAATCGATGGGTTCATTAGCATCGGTCGATCTCCCCCCAACCCTCATTCTTAGGTCTTTGGGATCAGCATACAACCCTTCTACAGTTCTCTTCACTTCCCCAATGAACTTGGACTTGACCGTCGTCTTTCCCGCATGCAACTTCTTGCTTGTTCCCTCAGCATTCACGTTGAACTCCAGCTCAGCATAGCTCAATTTATCATTGAATTCCCCAAGAATATTCTTGAAATCTAACAGATCTATTGTTTCCTTGCCAGCTAATTGCGCCTCTTCCATCATGGAATGAATCAATGAGTCCAATTTGTCATCAGAAATGTCAGCATTGACTGTATCCATGAAAGATCTTAGCATGTGTGCAAAGTCTTCGCGTTTCAGGTGTCCAAGTCCATTGATATCATACATATCGAACATTAATTTGAGTTTATCTTCAGCTGTTCCTTTCAGGAACAACACTAGCATGTCGATGAACTCGCGAAATGATATGAAACCGTTTTTATCAGTATCAATCAGGTTAAACATTTTTCTGACGAATTCTGAATCTGCTCGCATTGTCAGAGCCTCTGCGAATTCGAGGATCGTTAATTCCGTGTGAATCACTTCTTTAGCGACCTCGGAGTCGATTCGGAGGATCTCGTCTTCTGAATGAGCTATGTTGAAAGCCTGGAACATTTTATAAGCAACAGGTGAACGAATAAAAATCGATTTCAAATAAACTTTGCTGGGGAATTTTGTGAAATGCAACGATATTTCCTACAACTTTCCAATTGATCTATTAGTTTCAAAAATGCTTGAGACGAGGGGCTACTCACTCCATAATTAAGTGACACCATGATTTCGAAATGAAGTCGATTTTTGGTGATTTCAGCGGTAATTTCAGTGATTTCGGAAAAAAGGATTTCGGTGATTTCTAGCGTCACGGAAGGTGATTTCATGATTTCATTAATTCGAAATCCGTGATTTCAGAAAAATAAAGTTAATAAATACTAGAGTTGGGGAAAAACGGGTTGTGTCAAATTATGAAAATCAAAACTGGCAAGATTAACTGGCAAATAATAACGAATTCGTTTGATTCTATTTCACCAATCTTGAGCTAATGACGATGGAAAATGGTCCATTTTACCATTTTACTGTGACAGTGAGTTCGGCATTTTATTATCATCATTGGCAGCTGTGTCAATTTTAAAATCACGAATTACTTGCACTGTTCGTATCATATCAGTGCGCCACTGATTTCGGTGATGTCATTGATTTCAGTTGATTTCGGTGATTTCATGTGATTTTAGAGTGATTAAGGAATGATTTCATGCAAGAGTAGCGCCGTAATTTCGGAAGTGAATAGCCCCTCGGTTTGAGAAATAATTTCAATGGATTATCATATTTAAACTCATCTTCTATAATTATTTCATTGTCCATTGAAGTACCTGAGAAAAAACAACTCGAAAGAATTGTTCCAACTTCTTCTGTCTGACTTTCATTGTTACAGCTTGTTTGAGAACCGCGATTGTAGTGATTCTAGCAATTGTTTCCCTCTCCACCCCAATGTCTATCAGAAATCTCTCCAGCGTTACGACAAAAGTATTCCGTAGGTAGATCGATGCAAATTTGAGGACCAAATCATAATTGTGCTCAACTCGGAGTAATAAATAATGGCTTTCGTGCCCAATAAACATCTGCAACAGAGAACATTGGAAGTCATTTCCAAGCAATTTCAATCAATTTTGCCTTAAAATTATCTGTGATAACAGGATTAAGGCCCGGGTGGTTTGTCTTTCGAACCTGATCTTGGTTATTTTTTTTTATTTTGATCATTTGAAATGATCTCCAATTGCTATTCAGTTTTACATAGCCCAGGAGTCTCAAAAAATTATGATTGTACAATCAAAAAAACATTGAAAAAAAGCTCAACATTTTCAAAGAGCGTTTTTTAATAATATTGTGAAATAAACCCAAGAGGGAGGAAATTGCAAATTAATAATTTGATGTATCTAATGACTGTTAGGTCGTCATTTGTCACAGAAGTCAATGACTGTCAGATCCTTAGTCACCATGATAAATTATCCATTCACTATTTCCTCTCTATCAGATTTATTTCTTAATCTTTATTAAAAACGATCTTTGAAAATGTTCATTTTTTTCTACTTTTTTTGATTGTACAATCATAATTATTCAGGACTCCTGCGTGATGTAAAATTCAATGGAAATTGTGATATATTTTAGATTATGAAGATGGAAAAACAATGGAGATAACGTTCGAAAGATAATCCCCCCCGGGCCTTAAGCATAATATTTTTATGGAGATTACTTAGCAAACGTCGTCTTTCTTTAACCCTTGAGCGGTCGCACAATGAGTTAATTACAATTGACTGGCTAACCGGAAACATAAAAAAAAATTGACTTTGTCAATTGAAGTGTCTAAACAATTATAGTAGTTTTTAAAACAATATATTTCCCGAAATTTTCTAAAGAAAAAAAATTATTTTGGACAGATGAATTATTTTTCCCATACTAAATGAAGTTGCCCATGACGCGACGTTGCCGGAAACTCGCTAAACACGTCCGGGTAGTGTAGAGTGAATTCGGCAACACTAAAGCCTAAATAACGCGGCTGGGAATCTCCGCGGAGGTGACCAAGTCGCAGGGTCGCGTTTGGTGACCAGACTAAGGTTAAAAAATAGGATGAGCCGCCCAGTGTTATAGTTCTCCCAGTGACTAAAATTTATTTAGTTTGAATAATTCAGTTAGATCACTGGACGTATTGGGACACTGGTCAATTCACCCTATCAAAACATCTTTTCAAACCGTACAACTCTGTACTTTTGATAAACTCTTCTATGTCGATTCCATTCGAAGATATTTTCACAATAATGTCAAGACACAGACAAACATAATGTTTACTAGAAATCTCATTTGGAAATAAGAAAGGAAGGGAGGAAAGGAAGCACTTTCCGCCCTAGACTGGAAAGTACTCACTTTTCTCCCGCTCATCAAGGAGTAAAATACGAACTTTCCTTTCCATGCGTGTTAAAAAACCGCATGTGCACCTCGGGCGGAAAGTCTTGACTTTCCGCCCTTGATGCACAATATATACTATATCTTTTCCGAACAAATTGAACCAGAACTTACAAGAACTTTCTCACAAGCTCTGAGATCCAAAGCCCTTGTCAAATGCCCCAAAGTGTTTTTAACTTGTATCTGTTTACTAGTTCTATTCAAATGAACAATAACACATCTATTTGAAGAGGAAAAACCAATCCACTCGTAAGCCATGTGCATGTTAGCAGAGTCCTCTGCGCTCGGTGCATTCGCCAATTTTGAACGTATTTTGTCATTCACATGATGAAGTCGGAATAATTTAACGAGAATTAGAAGAAGAAATGAGCCAAAGAATACGGCTGTAGAAATGAAGGTCAGCATGTATGACAATTCACTGTTTTCAAAGTAATCATAGGATCCCAGGGGAGTACATTCCTCTGTCCTAGACGCATCCACTGGTGGTGCGTGCCAACATGGAATTGAAGTCCCATTCAAATGCTCACACTCTCCTCTGGTTACCAATTTTGAGCAATTTGGGTGTATCTCAGTATCCGATGTGGGAACTCTAAAGACATTTCTCGGCAGATCCTCTTCGTCTATATCTGTGACACTTATGAGAATGTCTCGGAAGGATAGTTTTCTCAGTCTGTTGATTTCATCATGTGTGAATAATCTGAAAATCATTATTTTTTTTTAAATTAATGGTAAGTAGAATGGAGAAGTGACTTTTTTCCTTCAATTGATTAGTTTAGGAAGAAATTATCAGGAGATATTTTTCGTAGGGGTGTGGGTCATGAAACAACTGGTAATTAGTGTATATAACTACTCCAACAAATTTTTCGAGGAAACTCAATTAAGTTGTCATTTATTGCCAATAGACATTGAAATCAACAAGAAAATTGAGCCGGACTCAATTAGGTAGATAACTTGAAGGGGGTTGACTGGGTTAAATTTTGATCTTTGTGAGTTCATAACAGCTGCGTCCCCGTCGCGAACCTTGGTAATGCTGAGTGCTGGTGAAGTTTGATACTTTAAAAATAAGTGCTTCACTACACGTTGAATTTATATGAACATCACATAATTGGAATTTAAAAAACTGCTTTTAGAAGGAAAAACGTAGACTGCACGGAGAGAAATGTTCAGTAAAAATTACGGAACTCACAATTCGCTCACCAATTACGCAATGGACTCAGAAAATTTAAGTGACGGTATCGTAATTTTTCACAGGAGATTCAGATAAAAATTACGGAATGCTCTGGAAAAATTCCGTGACAGTTCCGTAAAATTTCCTACCACCACATTTCGCTCCGAAATTACGGAAAAGATACGTAATTTTTATTGAATATTCCTCTCCATGTAGGAGGTCCCGTACATCTATATGAGCATACACGTTACTAAGTGTAATAGGTCAAGGAGGTCAAATTCATCTATAGCAGCCAGTTTCCGACACATTATACGTCGAAATACTTCAAGATCACACATAAAAACTTAATATTTACCTATCAGTATCCCGGGAAAATTGGAGTTGCTATATTAGCTAATTACCAAACAATTTTAGGTTTTTGAGGATGTTTATCCATTTTTCGAAAATCGATTGTTTTTATGTTCAAGGAAAATTCGGTAGTTTTTAGAACTGATGGAGGAGCATATGAAACCAATATTGATAACTAAGAAAAATAAGAAAAAGTTGTTTCTTTGGCGAAATGAAATAAGCCATTTTCATCACACTTTGAGAAAAGTGTCTTTCTCTTTTATGTATTCGAAAGGGTGACATGAGTTGCTGATATTATGATTTCATGAGGTTTCATCGATTGCGAGTGATTTCAATTAAAATTACCTGAAATCGATGAAATCCCAGGACTTCACTGATTTCACTTGATTTTCACTGATTTTATAGGATTTCAGTCCTGAGTGTGTCACTGATTGTGTGAATGATTTCACAAATGAATGGCCCTTCGGTTTTTGATATTTTTGTTTATAAACAGAGACATTAGGATTTTTATTTGATCAGAAACGTTGTACATTCCCCACCTTCCTCAATTTTATTTCTGAATAATCAACTCGGTGATTTATAGTACATTAGCGTATAAGGGCGCCAATTTCGTTTTCAACGAATGTGAAGGCGAACTCTTCACTCACATTCGTTGACAACGAAGTTTATGCCCGAGTGATCTATAATATTTTGTCACACCGTGCAGAAGTCGAGTTTGAAGCACACTGCGCGAAGCGCACAAGTTCAAACAAACGAATCAAAATAATCTATTGATTTTTTCCTATCAAGTATCGAATAGAATCTACGCAAAAAATAAATAGAATTTCAACGACAATCTCCTAGCATTTTAATAGAATACCCATACAAGTGGTACGGAATTTCAATAGAATTTTCTGTCGAATTCGCTAAAGTTTTCTATTAAATTTTTTCATATGTGTCACGCGATGGATTCTTTCAAGCCTCTTAATTAGCAACATTAATTATTTTTCACTAACCCATTGCTCTCATTTTCGAACCAAAATCGATCCCCATTCCGAATCCTCTCGAATTGATCAGCAATAATCCGCTTGAACAGTTCTCCTGGCCCATCTTCAGTTTCCATGATTCCCCCAACCCAAAGATCGATATCATAGAACTTATTTTTGTAGAGTTCCTTCAATGTTTTCCTGATCGTGGAATTAACTCTCACGAAATGAAACCAGCTTTTGACCGGATGCAGTTTGTAGAATTTTCTCACCGTGTTATAGTCAGGGATTCCATGATCACGAGCTCGTTGAATATTTAATGCCATAAGGTCACGACGTGAGAATTCCAAAGGCCCAAATACGCTTTTCCTGAGGTCGTCTACAATTTTATGATCTTCTGCTTCAGTCAACTGAACTACCATTCCTCTCAGAAGGTCCTCGATGATAATATGTCCATCAATTGTTTGACCACCTTGACGAAGTTTATTCTACGAAATATTTCATCAAGAGAATGAGAAAAATTTTCAGTTTTCTTATCTCTCATTACGATTCTTTTCGAACTCATTAAATATTGTTTTGACGCCATTCGAAAGCCAGGAAATTTCACGACTGAAAATCCGCCTGACAATCCCTCAATTTTACTACTTGAGGGGTTAATTCAAGAAGGAATTTCCGGAACAAAAAGTTTCTTTTTTATCTGGAGAGATCAGAGATACCGAATAATCGTTAACCAGTGTTTTCAGTCGGAAATTTCCTTATTTATGGAAGACTGTACACTCGAGCACTAAAGTTTGTGAACAGCCTGAACTTGCATTATATCCTGTGTATTCAATTCACGAACTTTAGTGTTCGACTGTATACTCTTAACTCAAGTAGTTTCCAAGATACAGCAATTTCTCAAAAATCGTTTTTCCTCAATATCTCGAAAACTACGAGACTGAATTGAATTTTTTTACCTCGAAATATAAGAACAGTTTAGTAACAATCAGCATTTTTCATTTTTACGGGGAATTTGTTCGATGCACGGTAAACTTCGAAATATTTAGATACGATGTCGAAATTTGGTGTGATCGGACAAGATTTACTGAGATCAAACCAAATCGAACAGGTGGTTTAGAAGATATTTCACTTTTTGTGAAAAACTGTTTTGTTCAATATCTCCCAAACTTCTAGTCCGATTAATTTTATTTTTTTTCAAAATACTCATCGTGCAGTCTCCTATCGCGATCAATCAAAATATGAATATCCGTTTTTCTAATTTTTTCAATTGAATGTCAATGTGACCTTCCATAATACTTGTAAAACTTGGAATAAACATCTGAAGTTCTGGCTACTACTAGTACTATAATTAGTATTACGGAGGGTTCGTTTACGGATTGCACACGGTAATCCTACGGGCGATCCCTGAACGCAGCGTCTTCACACAACTCGTGAATAAGCCCCCAGAGTAACTACTTCTTTACTATTTTATATTATCTAATATTTGATGAAATAACGATGTAAACGGGAACTGACTTGGAAAAAGATAAAAAGGAATTTCAGGGGAACATTTATTCTAGAACCATTGCTACATATCCATTCGGAAGCTTATGACCAATGGAATTGGTAGAGAGAGAAAGAAAAAAAGCTAATAACGTATAAAGTAATGGTAACATAGCTTCTGTCGTATAGGCCCGCAAACCCTGTTTTATTTTTCATTTTTTTATTCATTTTTTTTTTCATCAACTATGTGGTCTCAATTAAGGATGTTTAACCTATCAAGTGAGCAACTCCGTTGAANTCGCAATATTAATTTTTTTATTGCAGAGATTAAGGGATGAAACGGGGGTTGATGGATGGGGAATTTAATTCTCCATTCAATAGTCTTTGTTTCATCCCTTAATATTAATTAGTCGGCGAATAAATCAACTGAAAAATATAAAGTAAACATTGAGTACAAGGAGGACAAAAATCTCCCTCCAAACCTGTCCCTGTCACAGCGGGACTGCTACTACCGAGTTACTCACGCACCCGACTCACATTTACCGACAATTCGACCGGGACGCCGCCTTTCCCGTGGGGTACCAACTAACATTTTTGGAGTCAGTCAAACCCCCCGATCCGGGCCTCTACTCAGGTCTATCCTCTTTGATCCCGGCGTTGGGGGACAGCACACTAAAATTTTTGGGAGATTTTTTTCTCAGTGTATGCTTGCAGCACTGAATTGTCGTCACCGACTTTACCGACCTCAATCAGCTGTTGTGTGGTGTTGTCGCGTTGCCGACTCGTCATGGCGGTCAAATTTTTTTTAGAGGAATTCGAAAATCAATTGAAGATATCGCGCTTATATGGCCCGGTCGCCTACTTTTTCTCGTTGGCGATAGATTCTCCATAGTCTAAAGTAAATGGCTTGTGGTTTTTTTTCAATATCTTGAGTGTCTAACCCATGGAACATTTCGATCAAAGTTCACACGGTCACGTTTCTTCCATAAGCGTAATGTTACAAGGAGTGATTTTCAGGAATTAATTTCTCATTAGGATGCCCCGGTGGAAGGATTAACATTATTACTGACGTGTGGCTCGAATATGAACCTGACGTTTGAAGCAATATCAAAATTATTGCGAATAATGCGGGTTTTGGCTAAACATCCTTAAAATCGTCTGCAAGGTTTTTTTTTTAAATTATTCATTCACATTTCAGTTCAAAAATAAATCCACAATCGATTACCCTAAATGGTAATTCATAATTTTAAACTTGCTATATATACCACAGACCTAAATGGCCTATGCGTGGTGTTGATGATTGCAAAAAAATGGGATGGCGACAGTGCATTAATCCTTTCCTTATTTAACTCCTTCCGATGGTTCTTAAAATTAGTTCTATGTTTTTGAGGCCGTCCAACTCCCAGGTTTCACGGGCTGTTATCCATTCTAATCGGGACGTTTCGTTTATTAGGAGGTAGATAATGTCGACAAAAAAAATGGTGGTTATCCCCTTTAACTAGCATTTATGTCATTAGGCCCGATAAACCGCGATTCTAATCTCGCTTCGCTCGGTTAGATCGCGGTTTTCGGGCCCAATGACATAAAATAGCGTATATCACACGGCGATAAACGCATTATCTGGCGAATGTGATTATAGGCCTTTTGCGTAGCTCTTCATGTGTGGGTTTTTGCTTTGCATGTGTTGTGTACATACGAGGACTCTCTACCTAAGTTATGCACAGTATCCGAAATAGATGGCGCTGATTAGCATATATGTACATGGTTACACATGCTCAAATCTTGATTGTATGCCACTAACGAGCTGCGCAAGAGGCGTATAATCCTCGCCTTCCCTGGCGGATCCCCCGATGGAGATTCGATCGACTGTCGATTGTAGAATCGAGTTGATCAGTATATCGATTCGTATGCGAGTGTAGTTCGATTCAGATCTCAGATTATTGATGGAATCGAAGATGAATCGACTTCATAGGAAGTCGATAGGTAGTAAATTTCAAATGACAAAAATTTATTGCACCAAAACTTGAACGGCTCATGGGGTGGTCGATTATGAAAGACTAGGTCCATAACGCGCGCGGTTGTGCGCATTTACGAACAAACAGCGCTTTAGCGCTGAGAATTGGTCTGATTACAAATACCATAGAAAAACATTAAGAAGCTATTTTCGTTTACCATAAAATATAAAAATTCAAAAAAAATTAAAATTTATTTTTAAAAAATCCGAACCGCAAGAAGAGGATGACATCACTATCATATGACAGGTCATATGATGCATTCGAATTTTCAAATCTGAAAATTTCATGCTATCATCGGAAGTCAGCTGCACTCTTAAGTAACTCGATTGAGTAGATTTGTCTCGATTCAGTAGATTTGTCTCGTACAAATTCAAATTCAATTCAAATTCTCGTACATTCAAAACCAATTAAAATCTCTGTAACTTGATCTCACTCATATAAAACTTTTATGGGCATACACCACAATATTTCCATCATTTCTAATTTATCATTCATTTTATCAATTAGTATATCATCAAATCATAAACAAATCATAAACAATTCATAAAATCAAAAATCAAAGTTATCTTCCTCATCGACAAATCATCACCATCATCATTATTATTATCATCAACATCATCATCATAATTATCCCATCAATATCATCAATTTCTTCAATCAATCACTACATTCATTGATACAAATTGATAGCCAGCAAAGGAAAACTCTCCGGTGTGTTGATAACAAGATAAACTCGAAACCTCCTTCACGTATTTGCTTCAAACCAGATCTGAAAACAGGAGAAGAATAAAAATCACATGAGAATATGTTTTATTCAATGGAAAAATATTTTTCCAATATTTAAGAACAATTGATCTCTAACAACATCAATTACAGCTAATTTTCATCTCTGTCCTTCTCTTTCTCATAGGGAAAAAAAAACTGTAGAAAATGAAATCAAGCAAATCATGTTTAATTGTCAAAAATATCGTCTAACCAAGTGATACGATATAAATGAATCAAATCTCGTTTTGGTGTTGGAGAATTGGAGAAATATTTGAACGTTTAGTAAAGGAGGCAATTCTACTCTACGATTCACGAGTTATTTTTTTCCCCTTTCTTTTCTCTTCTCTTTACGTAGTTCACGACTACCAACTTTTTTTTCCAACTGAAAAAGAAGCTAACGGATATATGTAAACACGTATAAAACTCGATAACTTTAAGATTATTTCTTTTTTTCTACTTACATAATTTCCACCAGGAAGACAACGAAATGTCACTGCAGTTATTCACTGCAGTTATTAATAATAATCTACCAGGAAGAAAACGAAATGTCACTGCAGTATTAATAATAAAAACTTCTTAATTTTAATACAATTTTCTCTTCTTTATTCATTAAAATACACATCGATATTTCTTCACTCCCATAATATTCTCACACTCCTATAATATATCTCAGATCTATAACGCGCGCGGTTGCACGCGTTCACAAACAATTCGCGCTTTAGTGCTGAGGGCCAGTTTTTGGATTAGGAAACCACGGTTAGACCTCGGTTAAAGTTAGGTGAATCGTGGCGCTATTGACTGGATCGTGCATTTTATGCGCAAAGCAAAAATCTTCGAGCTCAAAGCCCTGAAGAGTTCTTTTCGTATCAATACTACATGAATAAGAAATTCCGTTAAATCATTGATTTTGTTTCTATGAGTTCATGTTTTTCAATAATTGAATAATCATTTATTACTCGCGATGAAAATCAAAGAGTTATTGTTTTCTGTCCATATCGACAGCTTAGTAACAGAGTCATGTAACTACAAAAAACCATCATTTCCAGAAAAAAAATGACGTATTTCCAAAAAATGCGCTATTTATGCTCAGTATTCGAAAAATCATCGAAATAATCATTTTCAATTTATTCTTGATCAGAGTAACGTATCTTCAATCATTTTCGTTCAAACAACCGTTAGTTCCACTCACGTTCTTTTGTTCCAAATAGATGTTAAACTTTCAAATC